CCATGTCTCCTCCCCCCTTTCCTTGGGCGGGTGCTAGAGCCGCGTCCGGATCTCCCCACCCCCTTTGCATGCCGTGTCCTTTCCCCGCTTGCTGCCCATGCCGCGAGTGAGGGGAGGGGAACTGATTGCAGTTGGGTGACAAAAGGTGGGGTGAGGGGGCAGCACGGAGGGGTGCTGGGTGCCCAGCCTGGGTGCTGCAGACACTCGGGGGCTAAGGGAGGGGTTCTCTGGGAGCGGAGCTCAGCATGGCCCAGAGAGGGGCTTTAGGAGACACAGGGATGAAAATTCCTGAGCTCTGGGCTGCGTTAGCAATGCACAGGGTGCAGAAGGAGTTGGCTAGTCTGGCAATGGAAGGCAGGGGGCTGGACAGAGCCACGCGCATCAGTCAGAGAAGCTGGGCAGGAGCGGAAACCCCCTTCCCCCGTCTCCAGCTCTGCATGGCTCCCCCCTCCCAGTCCTGCAGTGCCCAGGTGGGGCAGGGAGAGGGGGTCAGGGCAACTGATGGAGCGGGGCCAGGAACAATCCCTGCTGCAGGAGCAGCTCCTGGCTGCAGCCGAGGTTGTAGGAGCCACTTATGACCCACAAGCGGGTCGACCCAGCCAGCTGCCCCCGCCCCTCTCCCTGCCCCCCAGCACCAGGGAGGAGCTGGGGCAGCTAGTGAGGCAATGGCAGGAGCCAGCCACTGCAGCAGCCCTTCCACTCCACAATCCAACTTCTGCGCCCTCTGCTTCCAACCCCACTACCCTCCCTTATCCCATGCCCCTGGTTCCACCCCCTTGACCCCCACCTCCCCACCCAAGGCCAAGATAGGCAAAACTTCATTTGTGTCGGTGAGGAAGGGTGGTCCAGTGGTGAAGGCACTAGTCTGCCCTGCCACAGACTCCCTGAGTGACCTTGAGCAGATCACTTTGTCTCTCTGGGGAGCATAGCACGGCCCTGCCTCCCGGGGGGTTGAAAGGATAAATTTAGAGCTGATTTTTTTCCCCCATGGGAAATTTCAAGTTTTCAGCAAAAATATTGAAAACCATAATATTTTGGTTTTGCAAATGCTGCTGCAGTGCCTCATGGGAGTTGTAGTTCAGGTGCCTTATGCACCCATTCTCCTCTATGGCTGGCTGTACTACATCTCCCATGATGCTTAGTCTCCCCTCTTATTGTGGCCGCCACCTCTCCCCGGTGCATCATGGGAGACGATGTTCAGCTGGGGAGCCTGGTCCATAGAGGAGGCTGGAAGCAGGAAGCACCTGAATTACAACTCCCATGAGACACTTTGGCATCAAAATATTTTGTTCGCTCCGTTTTTTTGGCTGAACAAGCGACATTTCCCACAGGAAGCAGACGCTTTCCGGGGACATTTCGCCGAGTCGAAAACTCAGTTTCCCACTGAAAAACAGCTTCAAGGGGAAACGTTCAACCAGCCTTAATAAATACACTGAAGTTTGTGTGGCGCTCAGAGACGGTCTTTGGGGCAGGGAGTGTGTCATTTTGTTCTGCGTTTGTGCAGTGCCTGGCACCGGGGCCCTGCCCCATAACCACCTTACTAGGTGCTCCTTCAGTATGAATAATAACTAAGAATAATGATTAGGGCTAGATGAGCGATTGAGATAGATAATGGCAGGGATACTGCTGCCCTGTGGTCAGAGGAGGTAACAATGGAACACCCGGCCCAACCCCTCTGAGAACCCCTATTGGGCTGGGTGTCTCTCTCTCCCCACTCCCGCTCCCGGTTAATGCTGCCCGCTGCCCTGGACCTGGCCGCACTGGGCCCTGGTCCCATAGCTGCACTACAGGGTCTCTCGGTTCTCTCTGGGACAGTGGGATCAGCTGGAGGAGGAAGACGAGGCTCGGCCCCCTAACAAGAGGTGCACGTTCTGCACCCAGATTGTGGAGAAGCTCAAGTCGATGATTGGCGATGACCCCGATGAGGTACGTCACCCAGTGCCTGTTGGCCAGCCCAGAGGTTAGAGGAGGGGGCCTGAGGAAGTGTGCGGGAGGGGTGAGGAACAGTGGGATGAGGAGGGAGAAGGTGTGTGGGGGGAGAGAGCAGAGGGCGTGATGGTGATGGGAGAGTGGGGAAGGAGAGGGAGAGGTGGGGAGCGGACCGGGGGACGATTCCCTGGCTGATGGCGAAGTTATGGGAGAGGAGAGGGTGGGCGGAGCGCGGTGCCATAGCTCACGTGCCAGGGCTCTCGCCGCAGGATGCTATCAACAAGGCCCTGAGCTCCGTGTGCAGATCCGTGGGCAGACGCCAGGCCCGGATGTGTAAATCGCTGCTGAAAAAGTACAAAGATCAGCTCACGGAGGGACTGCAGAACGGCGATGAGGCCGGAGACATCTGCATCAGCATGAAATTGTGCAAGGAGCCCCCAGGTGAGAGTGCGTAGGCCGCAGTTCATCCCCCACGGGAAACTTCGGCCCAGGCCCCTCGGGGCTTCTCCCAGAAACATCGACTGGGCTCTCCCTCTCCCGGCCCAGCAATCACGCCCACCCCAGGAATTGTCCCCTGCAGAGTTCACCCCCTCCCGCGTCCCAAGGGATCCTCCCCCGCCTTGTTCTTCCCCCATCCCCTGGATTATCCCGCTAGGCCTCAGCCACCCCCCGGCCCATCTCTGAGGTGCTGCACAGAGGATGCCTAGGCCGGCCTGCCCGCGGGGCTGGAGCTGCTCTGACCCAGAAACGCTGGTTTTCCCTCCAGAGTTCTCCAACTGATACCCGCCGCTTGCCCTGAGGCCACGCCGATTCCCCAAAGCTTCTCGCTGCTGCTGATTGCGCCCGCCTGCGATGCACAGAACTGGCTGGATGGAGCATGGCATAGGGCCAGCTGGGTACGTGATACCCCAAGGCAGATCCCTGGGCTGGGGGAGTGAGGTGGGGAGCGGGACCCACTGGTGCTCAGGTCTGGCTTATAGCACCATGCCCTGAAGGTGATGCTGGAGCAGCAGCCGGGCTCCTTCACCCAGTGCTTCAGCCCGGCCCGGCCCTGTGAGGGCTGCAGTGTCTCCAGGGCCCATGTGCTCCTTGGTCTGTGATGCCCTGGGTGGGGTGGCTGCTGCACAGCTTGTGCTAAAGAGCCACGGCTCCACAGCTGGGGCTGCCCCACGCTCATCTCTAGGGATCAGGCACGGAGCGGGGCCTGGAGCACACACTGACGGCTACAGGGGATGGGTGCTTAGGGGACCCGCTTACCAGTGGGTGCTCCGAACGCCACCCAGGGTTATGAGCCCCAGACAGTGTGGGCAGCTGGGGGGTTTATGGGGGGCTAGTCGGGACTGTGGAGGAGACGGTGGGTAGAGCCTGGAGCTCAAGGTGGAAAGCAGGACCCCTGCTGGCTAAGCTCACAGGCTGTCTCCCGCATCCAGGACCACTGCAGACCGGAGCAGACAACCGGAGGACAGTGACTCTGCCAGCCCTTGGCCATCAGCTTGGCTCTGGCATCTCTTCTGCTGGATATCGTGGGCCGGATGCTGAGCCGGTGCACGTGGGCACAGCACCAGGCCATGCCGATTTGCACCAGCTGGGCATCTGACCCCCTTTTCCCCCTACTGCTTTTGGCTTCCTTATGAATAAAGTGCTTTGGACAACGTGTGGCTGGTTTCATGCCCCTGCTGGGCAGGGGGAGCGGGCAGGTGGAAACGAGCCTTTCGGCTCCAGCGCTGCTGAGGCTGCTTGAGAAACATTTGTCCCAGCCACCATCCCGCATGTCTCTGGCCCGTCGTCTGCCTTTCCTTCCTGCGCGCCTTATTCCAGGGGCCCTGATGGCGTCACAGGCTGGGCGTGGCGGCCTTGGCCCCTGCAGCTCCTTCCCCAAGAGCTGGGAGCGGGGCCCGGCCGCAGGAAAGGGAGCGGAAGCTGTTGGCTCAGAAGAAGCCGCGCCTGAGGACGGGCGAGTGCAGGAGGAGAAAGTGGCCACCAGCGAAACTGCCCCGTGTCCCGAGCTCACCGTGGTTAAGGTGGAGGGAGATAAGGGACGGGGTGGGGGAAGCAGGTGGGACAGGGTGACTGCGGGTATTGCCTGTTGGTCACCCAGCTCCCCTGCGCAGAGGAGCCTCTCACCTCTCAGGCCAGGAGAGGATCCTGTGACCCCCCCCTTCCTCTGCTGTGCCGGGGGGGCCACACCCAGGGTGCGGACAAGGGGCCTCCCCACGGGTGTGAGCTTTGGATCTGAACCACGTCTCCCCCAGGCTGCTTCCCGCAGGATGGATTCCCAATGCCCCCTGCCGCCATCATGGGAGAGCAACCCTGCATGGCTTGCGTCCTCCTCCGTCCCGGGGCCTGCCCGCTGCTCCCCCCCCCCGGGGGCCTACAGTGGAGGAGGGCACCACAGGCTGCATGCCCAGGAGAGGCCCTTTGCATCCTCGTCACCCACCGGTCCTTGTGCCAGGGTCCCCTTGGCCTCACACCCAGTGCTTAGGGAATGGCCTTGAGCTGTGCCTGGCCCTTTGAAACAAGCCCTTAGCGTCCCTCTCCCCCTTGGCCACAGACGGGGCTTCCCTCCATCCTGCCCCACCGGTCACACGCAGGGCGCTCGTTTGATGGGCTTGGGCTTTTATTTCATTGGCGCTAGGCATGGGGTACATGTCGATTAGCCGCATCACCCGTCAGTCCTCCTTCTCGTCACCGTGGGTGATGATGTAACAGAGGGATTTGTAATCAATGTTTCCTGCCACGTCGATGGGCGTCACCGCGAACATCTGCTCCACCTGGGCAGGAGAGAGCAGGGGTGGGGACGTGAGTCGTGGGCAAGGATCCCAGTGACTTCCCGGGGTGGGGTGGGGTGGGGCCCATCGGGGAGGCCGCAGCCGTGGCACCAAAGACCCGAGTGGCTGGCGGGCACCCAGATCTGCCACGGGGGGGGGGGGGGAGGGGCGTGTAGCGCAAAACCACACACACACACACACACACACACACACACACACACACACACACACTTCCCAGGGCTGCAAGGAGGGGGTTCCTGCCAACCCGTGGGGAGTTCCTGGGACCCACTGATTCGGGGCGGGGGGAGATCAGGGGCCATCTCACCTCCTCCGGGGTGAACTTGTCTGCCTGGGTCAGCAGGAGCTGCTTAAACCTGCAACCGAAACAGGACGCGAGTGAGACCGCAGAGCCTTGGGTTTGTGCCCATTGCCCCTGAGTGCCCAGCTCTGCCGGGGCCAGGCAGGGACTGGGGGGCTGGGGCCTAAGCGGGGGTAGGGGCCAGGTGGGTCCTGGCAAGGGGCAGGAAGGATCTGAGAGACAGGGCCTGGGGGACAGGAGCTGGGTAAGGTCTGGAAGTGAGGCAGGGTCGGGGGGGGGGGGGGAAGAGAGGAGAGATTCCAGGGGCACAGGCCCCGCAGGTCTAGACAGACCTGCCCACTGCACACAGAGACTTTTTTTAACCCTACGTTTTCCGAACTGGCCTCTCAGTTGCTGGGACCCGTTTGGCCCTGCCCCCCCCACCCTACCCTCTCCCGCCCCTTCCACATGCTGTGGCAGCCTGCTCCGCCCCCCCTGGCCCTTTCCCCCTTGGGGCAGTGACAGGGGGGTCCAGCCAGGCCTCCTCCTGGCTCCAGCCCACACCCAGTTTGGCCCAGGATGCCCCCGGCACCAGGGTGGCACAGAGCCGGCTCTGCTCCTGGCCTTGCCATTCACTGGAGAGGCCTCACCCTGCCCCGCGAGCCATCAGGCACCTGGGAATATGGCCCTGAGAGTCCAGCCTGAGACACCCTGGGCTCTGATTTGCAGCCCCCACCATTGAGGTCAGTCAGATCTGGGGGCGCGCAGCCCCTCCAAGACACCAGGCCAAGGGCATCTCCACCTGGGATCCCAAAAGCCGAGGCCCCAGAAGCAGGGGCTGCTCGTGTCCCTGTGGGCCTAGAGGTGCTGGGTCCCCCAGGCCTGCGACTGCCCCCCACACCCTGGCTTGGGGCCCTTTGACTCACTCATCCTTGTTCACGTGGCCGGTTCCGTCGGGGTCGAAGAGTTTGAAAGCGTTGAGGATGGATTCCTCCGGGTCGGTGCCTGGGGGGGGGGGGCAGGGGGGCTGGTTAGCTCAGGATGAGGCTGAGGTTCCCCAGCCCCATTCCCCTGGCTCTAGGCCCCCCCCATGCCTGCCTCGGGGCGGGGGCACAGCCCTGCTTCTCTTGGCTCGTCCTGCCCCGCAGGTTCGGAGTGCGGACGACCCTCCCTCTCCTCAGAGGTGCTGGGAACCCGCATTCCCTGCCTGCGCTCCGACCGCTCTGAGGTGCCCAAAGCCACATCTCAGAGGGCAGCTGCACCACCACCTCTGTGCCCCCCCCCACAAGCCCATTGCTGGGTGTTGCAGGTTTCCAAAGACCCCAGCAGCTAAAAGCCGAGTTAAGCGGCAGCAGGAGACTATATGGTTTTCCCAGCATGGATCACGGTATCTCCAAGCCCCGTGGGGCCCGGCAGCACTCAGCCACGGCTCACACCCAGAGCCTGCGACAGGGGACCCGGCCATGCCTAGGAGGGGATGCTGGCGAAGCTATTGAGGGAATCCTTCTTTCCAGGCAGGGCCTGGGGACCTTCGATCTCCACTTGGAACAGTCACCAGCGGGAGAGAAAGGCAACATGGGAGCATCCCGCACTGCGGGTGTAGCGTGAAGTCGTCTCGAGGATGCCAAGAGCAAGCGGGCAGCAGAGCTGGGCACCGCGAGGATGCTCCAGCGGTGTGAGGGCGAGTCTGGGATGCAGGAAACCTGTGCCACCCCAGTGTGACCTTGGGCAATGTGATGTTATTGACATAAACTGGGACCATATAGATCATTGTTGCAATCAAGGTCCTGTAGTGGCACCCAAATCTTGTATAAAGGGGGTCAAATGGGGTGTCTAAGACAAGGTTATGGTTTACTGGTTATGATTAGGCTGTCTATATGTGTGTATCAGTTTTGTAGTTGAAGTTATTATTATGGCTCTATACTGTCTGTATGACAAACTTATGCTATGCTTCTGGGTGATATCCCAGACAAGCTGGGATTAGCTCTGCCTAGCCTGCTTGATGGCCCATTAAGGACCATCAGCTATACAATGGACTCATTGAGAGAAGGCAAATATGCCTTCAGACTCAGCAAAGTATGCAGGGACTGGCCCATGTGACTCCAGGCCCCATTTTGCTGTAATTTTCCACAGTGAGAACAAAGAGGTGTTCCTACACCTGGAAAAGACTGTATAAGGCTGATGCCTCATCTCCATTTTGTCTTCAATCCTGCTTCATACCTCTGGAGGAACTTTGCTACAAGCTGAAGCTTTGAACAAAGGACTGAGGACCCATCCCAGCGGGGGATGTATTCCAGAGACTTGATTTGAACCTGCAGTTTATTCTATCGCTGCTGCAAGCCTGAACCAAGAACTTTGCCATTACTGTATGTAATTGATTCCATTTAACCAATTCTAACTCTCATCTCTATCTTTTTCCTTTTATGAATAAACCTTTAGATTTTAGATTCTAAAGGATTGGCAACAGCGTGATTTGTGGGTAAGATCTGATTTGTATATTGACCTGGGACTGGGGCTTGGTCCTTTGGGATCAGGAGAACCTTTTTCTTTTACTGGGGTATTGGTTTTCATAATCATTTGTCCCCATAACGAGTGGCACTGGTGGTAATACTGGGAAACTGGAGTGTCTTAGGAGATTGCTTGTGAGACTTGCGGTTAGCCAGTGGGGTGAGACCGAAGTCCTCCTAGTCTGGCTGGTTTGGTTTGCCTTAGAGGTGGAAAAAACCCCAGCCTTGGGCTGTAACTGCCCTATTAGAGCAATTTGTCCTGAGCTGGCACTCTCAGTTGGGTTCCGCCAGAACCGCATCGTCACAGGCAAGTCACCCAGTTGCTCTGTGCCTCAGTTTCCCCATCTGTCCCATGGGAATCATAACCCCATGTGTGTGAGGATCAATACATCATGGAGGGTGAGGCGCTCGGATGCTCTGGTGATAGGGCCAGGGATGTCCCAGAGGTCGATAGAGCCCAGGTTGAACGGGCCCCCTCCAGCTCTCGGCCCCGTTCAGCTCTCGGCTTACTCACCATTCAGCTTCTCCCCGAAGAGTGCGAGGAAGACGGTGAAGTTGATGGGGCCCTTCCCCTCCTTCAGCATCTCGTCCAGCTCCTCGTCCTTCATGTTCAATTTCCCTGGTGAGGAGGGGAGGCCCGGTGAAAGCCCATCTTCCCCAGGATGCCTCTGGCCCCCAGCTCGGAGCACCGTTCGCTTTCCGGCGGCAGGAGCAGGCCTTGCCCCGTGGAGCCCTACCGCTGTACAGCGGGAGGCCTGGACCCCAGCACAACCCGAGCAGGGAGGCAGCTCCAGCCAGGGAGCTGGCACATCATGCCATCGGATGACACGACCCACTCTGTTCTCACCCTCTGCTACCTCTGGGCAGCACCCAGCATGATGGGGGGCCCCCCGATCTGTCAGGGTCGAAGCAGGGCCTGGCATGACAGTGGTACCCCGATCTCCATCAGGGTGGGTGCAGGGCCTGACTCGACAGGTCCCCTTGATCTGGGTCAGGGTGGGGGCAGGGCCCAGCACGACAGGTCCCTTTGATCTCAGTCGGGGTCTATAGGCCGATCTCCGTGGCAGCGTCGGTGGAGAGAGCCACCTCCACAGAGCCCCCTTTGATAAAGGCACCAGAGAGGCCAGGCCGGGATCTGAGGTGAACCCGGGCCCGCGCCTCGTGCCGCTCTAGGAGGAGGCCCGCTTCGCCCCTGAGCCGGGCCCCTGAGCCCAGAAGCTGACCGCCTCACTCCCCCACAGTGCAGGCAAGCAGAGCCAGCCTTATCAGCGATGACGCACGGGATGGAAATCACAAGATGCCAAGCTCAAGTGCCCGGTGGAAAGAGCGTGCCTGCTACTTAATCAGCGGCCCTGCCGATAAGCAGCCAGCTCCCGCTGTCTGCCAAGGGGGCAGGGTAGTTTTGGAGCTAGCAGCTGGCTTCCTTCATCGATTTGTAACAAAGGGCTTGTCTTGTTAAAGCGGTGCTCCCCAGCCCCACCCGCTCCCTGGCGGTGCAGGATCCCCCAGCAGCCCACGTCCCCATTCAGAGGGGTGTTACCCACTGGCAGGACCCTTCTTTACTGGGCACCAGCCCATGGGCCCGTGGTGGTTGAGAATTCCCTGCCTGTCTCCTGCTCCAAGGGCTCCCCTCTTCCTCAGACACAAAGGGTAGGCCCATGCTCTGGGGCAGGGTGGGGGGGACGGGACATTGGCACCACAGGACTGAGGAAGCAAGAAGAGGCTTTTTTGCTCCTGGGCTCCCAGCGTAAGTGCAGGAGCCTCCCAGTTTTGCTTTGAATGAACTGAAAACTCAGCCCTTTTTTCAGGGCCTGTGTCTGTGCAGCGCCTGGCGCCACGGGGCCCACGGCTGAGGAACTAGACTCCAAGCCGATACACGGGAATACCAAAGCAAAACTCGCACAAAGCTGCCGTGCCTGAGATTAAGGACTTTCAGACCCTTTCGATTCCAGGCGATGCACCGGGCCCAGGTTTGTTCCATATTGAACTAGGGAACTCACTTTCGCAAGAGATTGGGACAGCAGAGAACCTTCACTGCCTTCCCGCCAGAGGGCAAGCTACTCAAGCCAGAGGGGGTGGATGGGGATAGATAGATTAGATTAGATAAATAGAGGGGGTGGATGAGGATAGATAGATGGTGATGTCCTGACAGGTTTGTCATTCTTTGGGCACCTCCGTGGTCTGTGTTTGAAGCTTGCAGCGAGCTCCAGGCCCAGGGGGTTTGCTGAGGCCTGGCATTTCACAACGATGATTATTGGGGATAGCTTTGGTGCCTGCCCCTGGCCAAGGTGCACTGGGAGGGTGGGGGGTGAGGTGCTCACTCACCAAGCTGGGAATAGGTCTCCTTCAGGTCTGATTTCGTGATAATGCCGTCACGGTTCTGGTCGATGCAGCTGAATGCCTAGGAACAGAATGAGACGCTGAGCCCTGGGGCCTGGGCCTGCTTGCAGCCCTCGGCACCAGCCCCCTCACTCTCCTGGTAGGGCAGAACTCCCTCCAGCTGGCATCTTCCCCTCTCCCTAGCCGTGCCCCAGCAGGAGTGGGGAGCTCCAGCCCAGCTTGCCATGGCTGAGTCCCTAGGCCACATTATTCCCTGCAGCCCCAGCGTGGCCGACTTGTGAGTGTCACGATATCTTCAAGCTCCAGCTCCTGGAGTCAGGTGATTCGGGGAGAATCTCGGCTTTGGTTCCAATCAAGTACCTCGTGGTTGGGGAGAAGAGCTAAAAACGTGACTGTGAGAGGCTCAGAAACCAGCCGGCCAATGCAAAGTGTGGTATATTGCAAACTGTGTGAAAAGTCCGAGCTGTCACGTTAAATTATATGGGGATTCCTGGTCCTGCTTGTAGGCTTGGGGGGCTCTGCAGGGTAGCCTGTGATCTGGGTCCTGTGCAGTCAGTCTGCCTAGAGAAAGATGGGGTGAGTTGGGCCTCTCTGCCACAGGGAGCAGCCTGTTTTGTCTCTCTCTGGTTTTGGTTCTTGGCTTCTGGATTCTAAGACATAAAGTCGTGTTATGCTGCAGCCTTCCTGCAAGATGGCTGATGCTCAGGTTCTAGCTCGTTGTGTGTGTGCTGTGACTACTTGGGGGAGCTAACGCTGAATATTCCCCCCTCTCTCTTTGCGAAGGCCATGGCCCTGACCCTTCTCTCACCCCGGGCCATATCCCTGTGTGGGTATCATGTGCATTGCCTGGGCTCCCCGGCGTGCTGGCGTTCACACACAATGGGCCGCGGCACCCTCACCTCCTTGAACTCCTGGATCTGAGACTGCTCGAACATGGAGAAGACGTTGGAGGAGCCCCTCTGGGCACGCTTGGCAGCAGCTTTGCTTCGGGTCCCGGCTTTCCGGCTAGCCTGCAGGGGAAAGAGCCAATCAGAGTGCAGGGAGTCCTGCTGTCTCTGGCAGAGCCAATCAAAGCACAGGGAATCCTGCTGTCCCCAGCAGATCCAATCAGAGCACAAGGAATCCTGCTGCCCCTGGCAGAGCCAATGAGAGCACAAGGAATCCTGCTGAGCCCAGCAGAGCCAATCAGTGAGGAGCCCTGTGATGCGTGCCAGTGGGCACAAGCAGCAGAAGGAGAGCCCCTTGCTGGCACGAAAGGTGCCTCCCTCTCCGGTGCCTGGGACCAGTGTGATTGAAACAGACAAACAGTTTTAAACCACTGATAACCCCCAGCATGTTCCAACTCCCGTCAAAGTCTGAAGGAATGCCTAACATAGTGCATGCTAATGGGAAGGGGGTAGGTTTAGCAGATAAAATAAAAAAAGAACAAGTTAAAAATCACTTAGAAAAGTTAGATGCCTGCAAGTCACCAGGGGCTGATGAAATGCATCCTAGAATACTCAAGGAGCTAATAGAGGAGGTATCTGAGCCTCTAGCTATTATCTTTGGAAAATCATGGGAGACGGGAGAGATTCCAGAAGACTGGAAAAGGGCAAATATAGTGCCCATCTATAAAAAGGGAAATAAAAACAACCCAGGAAACTACAGACCAGTTAGTTTAACTTCTGTGCCAGGGAAGATAATGGAGCAAGTAATTAAGGAAATCATCTGCAAACACTTGGAAGGTGGTAAGGTGATAGGGAACAGCCAGCATGGATTTGTAAAGAACAAATCATGTCAAACCAATCTGATAGCTTTCTTTGATAGGATAACGAGTCTTGTGGATAAGGGAGAAGCGGTGGATGTGGTATACCTAGACTTTAGTAAGGCATTTGATACGGTCTTGCATGATATTCTTATGGATAAACTAGGCAAATACAATTTAGATGGGGCTACTATAAGGTGGGTGCATAACTGGCTGGATAACCATACTCAGAGAGTTGTTATTAATGGTTCCCAATCCTGCTGGAAAGGCATAACGAGTGGGGTTCCGCAGGGGTCTGTTTTGGGACCAGCTCTGTTCAATATCTTCATTAACGACTTAGATATTGGCATAGAAAGTACGCTTATTAAGTTTGCAGATGATACCAAACTGGGAGGGATTGCAACTGCTTTGGAGGACAGGGTCATAATTCAAAATGATCTGGACAAATTGGAGAAATGGTCTGAGTTAAACAGGATGAAGTTTAACAAAGACAAATGCAAAGTGCTCCACTTAGGAAGAAAAAAATCAGTTTCACACTGTAACACAAGTGGACTCACCCCTGCGGCACCTCCTGCTGGTCTCTCAGGGAATTAGCTCAACCCAGCCTCCAGAGCGCCCTCTGCAGGCCAGTGATCTGCCTTGCTCTCTACTTCTGGGCCCCGTGTCCCTCCCAGGACCCCTCTCAGGGGGCAATGGGGCAGGGGGAGGGAAGGTGCTCTCTAGGGCAGGTATCTGCATGGGGGTGGGGCTGGGAGGTCAGCTGCTAGTGGGGGAAGGGCTCTGGGTCTGTGGGTGGGAGAGGGCTGGAGGGAGGCAGGGAAAGGTCACTAGTAATCTCAGGGATGCGGAATTCTTCCCTTCCCTGCGTTCTTTGTTCTTTGGCCGCATGGTCCCCACGGGGGCTGTAAGCTCTGGGGCAGGGGCTGGCAATGGGGCTCAGGGGGTGGCACTGGCAATGGGGCTGGGGGAGGGCTGGTGCTGACAATGGGGCTCTAGGGGGACAGCAGTGAGGCTTTGGGGTCTGCTGGCAGTGCTGGGGCTGGGGGGGCACTGACAGTGGGTATCTAGGGGCTGTCAATGGGGCTCTGGCATGGCCCGGGCAGGTCCCCCCGAGTTAGTGCCCTGCTGCATGCTGAGGGGCTGCTCCTCGCCCCAGTAGGGGGGGGGCGGGGGCCGTTCGGGGGGGGGGCGCTCTCAGCACAGTGCCCGGCTCTCCCTCACCCCAGGATGTGGGAGGGCTGGAGCCGTTCTGGGGGGGCGCTCTCAGCACAAGCCCCGGCTCTCCCTCGCCGCAGGACGTGGGGGCCTGGAGCTGTTCTGGGGGGGGCTCTCAGCACAGGCCCCGGCTCTCCCTCGCCCCAGGATGTGGGGGG